TGCCAATACCATACTTACATACTACTTATTGACCTAGTAGCTTAAGTCATTCAACTTTGATCTTTTTCTTAGATTGTCCAGAATCTCCAAATAAATGTTCAATTTGGCTCATCATTGCCTCTTTTTGAAAGAAAAAAAAAAACCTGCTGGGATTTTGATTGGGAGTGCAGTCCCATCATCTGACTAGCATGGTGCCAATACCATATTTACATACTACTTATTGACCTCATAGCTTAAGTCATTCAACTTTTATCTTTTTCTTAGATTGTCCAGAATTTCCAAATAAATGTTCAATTTGGCTCATCATTGCCTCTTTTTGAAAAAAATAAACAAAAAAAAACCTGCTGGGATTTTGATTGGGAGTATACTGAATCTATAGATTTAATGTGTGGAGCAATGACATACCCCCCATTATTTTGTATCTTTAAATTCTCTCATTGTTTTAGCTTGCAGGGAATTTTTATCATGAATGGGTGCTGAATTTTAGCAACTAACTTTTCTCCTTTATTCTGTGTATGTGGTTAAGGTACATTTATTGGTTTTCTACTGTTAATTTACATTCCTGGAATAAATCCAACTTGGTCATGGTTTAATACCCTTTGTATACATTATGAGACTTCATTTACCAATGCATCATTCTAAGACTTCAGCATCTCTTTTGTGAGAGTCTGACCTATAATTTTCTTACTGTCCTTATCAAGCTTTGTAACAAGGTTATGCTGGCCTCATAAAAGCAGCCAGGGGATGTTCCCTTTTTATCTCTTTCTTTTTTTCTTAATTTGTAATATTTCATAAGTGAAGCCATCTGGGCCTGAAATTTTGCTATAGAAAGGTTTGTAACTACAAATTTAATTTCTTGAATAGACATAGAACTATTCAGACATTCTAGTTGTTATGTCTTAAGGGGAGGCATTTTATTCAAAAAGCTTGTCCATTTTACATGAATTTTCAAATGTATTACCATAAAATTGTTCAGATAACATCTTAAGATCTTATTTTTTTTTAATGTCTGTGGGATATGTAGTGATAACTCCTTTTTCTTCCATGACACTGGTACTACCATACACCATTAAGGTTCATTTCCTCTCCACAAAAAAAAAAAGGCTGCCATGTACTTATATGACACACCTCCACACCTGCACCATCACGAATATTCTCCAGCAGAAATGCCCTCAGAGGAGTAGAACAGGCAGAGAATAGAAACAGCCCAGCAACTCCCTCTCAACAGCTTTGATCATCAGAACCAACTGTGAACCTGAGCACTGACCGAAGGAGAAGGAGGCAGCTATTAGGAATGACCTAGGGCGGCTACCGAGAACGCAGAAGAAAAACGACCACTAAGCAGGTGTGTAACCTAGGACACCCTCCAAGGTATCCACAGGGGGACTTCAGGGGGCCATGAACTTAAAAATGTTTTCCTCACACATCTTTATTTTCATGAACCTCTAACTATAAAGTCAGGATTTCATATGGTTATAAATGTGGACAATAAGCCATACCAGGAGGAGCAATTCTGGCGACACTATCACAATAAGAGGCACAGACGTTTTCATATCACAGTGCGGCTGCTGCATATATTGCAAAATACCATTTACATGGGCATCACTGCTCTGAAATTATGACTTATTTCATACAGAACTGAAATTTGTTACTTAATGCACTAACAAAGAAACATACTCTATTTCAAATCTGATTTTCCCCCACAATTTTGAAAACTTTGTTTCAATATAATTTTAACCCTCTGAATATTTATTTATTATTTTTTTAATCCTCCCCATACCATACACCATTAAGGTTCATTTCCTCTCCACAAAAAAAAAAAGGCTGCCATGTACTTATATGACACACCTCCACACCTGCACCATCACGAATATTCTCCAGCAGAAATGCCCTCAGAGGAGTAGAACAGGCAGAGAATAGAAACAGCCCAGCAACTCCCTCTCAACAGCTTTGATCACCAGAACCAACTGTGAACCTGAGCACTGACTGAAGGAGAAGGAGGCAGCTATTAGGAATGACCTAGGACGGCTACCGAGAACGCAGAAGAAAAACGACCTCTAAGCAGGGTGTGTAACCTAGGACACCCTCCAAGGTATCCACAGGGGTAATTCAGGGGGCCATGAATTAAAAATATTTTTAGCTATTCTTGGTCTTAGAGCCTCTCCATATAAAAATTTTGTAATCCTCACTTGAAGATATGTTTTTATTGATTTTTATAGAGAGGAATGGGGACAGAGAGAGGGAGAGAAACACTGATGTGAGAGAGAAACATCAGTTGCCTTCCTTACACGCCGAGATAGGGGCTGAACCTGCAACCCAGGCATGTTCCCTGACCAGGAAAAGAACCTGCAACTTTCCTGTGATAGGCTGGCTGAGGTATACGTGGAAACTTCGAAAAATGTTTCTTGTGATGGACTAGAGTGTATGACAGGAAAAGAAGGGTACATTTAAAAGACTGTATTTCACACAGACTCCTTGTAAAATATTACCTTAAGACTGCTTAAGTGTACTTGACCAGTTAGGCCTCATTTACAAAATGAGTTAGACCAGGCTCTTTTGAGATGTAAACACATACTTTGAAAAATGAGTTAGGCCCTATGCATGGAGAAGAAAGCCAGGCCATTTTATTTCGGAACCCGGGATGCATTTATATGCAACTGGACATACTAATAAATATAGCGCAGGTTAAACGGGTTCTTTCTACCTATTCATCACAAAGTCGGTCATTTGCATCTCAACTGTAATTGATAAATATGGTGCCTAAGTACAATTTACTTAATCATGATGATGCTGACAGTTATTTCTGTCTGCTTCGAAAGTCCAAACTAAAACTAAAACTAACTCTGGCTTATAGTCATTTAAGTTTCCCTGTGAATATTTTTAATGCCTTTTAAAAAGTGGCTTCCCCAGACCCCAAAGAGGTCCGTGGCACACACAAGAGGCAAAGAGCCCCTAAAAGAAATCAAGAACTTCATCCAAGCCAGGGAATTCCCATGCAACAATCCAGGAGCACTTCCCCGGGCCGGCCCTGTGCTCGAACCACGAGACACACAGGTAAGGCCCACCCTGGCTAGTTCCTGATGTCACCTGCAGAGTTCCCAGCAACATCTCGCCACCCACTACAGTGACTGCTCTCTCCAGAGACTTGGCCTTCACCCTAAGTTAGTCTGTGTATCCTTCTTCCCTAAGAGGAACAAAGTAAACAGTAGGTAGCACAGGCTTTCATCCAAAAAGAGGACTCCCAACATTTGCCAGTTTGTGGCTTTGGCATCTCCTCTAAGCCTTCCTTTATTCTTCTGTTAAAAAAAAAAAAAAAAAAAAAAAAAAAAAAGGCAACACTACCTATCCTTCCCAGTTACCAGAAGGTTTAAAAATAATGACTTTAAAGCATCTGACGAGCACATCGTCCCTGTCAATATTAGTTGACTCTTTCAGGTTAAGACTGGCTGTCCTTACCCAACACCTAAACACAGTTCGGGACGGCCACAGCGAAAGGAGGGAGAAAAAGTATAGGAAAGGCAGAACATAAAGAATGGAAGAGGGAAAAAAAAATCATACTTAGTCTTCAAATTCCAGGATAAAAAGCACCCCCTCCTCCGAGAAGCCTTCCCTCTGAGCTCCTTGGGCTCCCACAGTACTTTACAACACAGAAGTGAACGCCTAGTTCTGCGAATGAATGAATGAATGAATGATGCAAAAACAGAAAGTAAACGAGACTCGCCCCCCCCCCCCTATAATGCAACCCAACGAGGGAGCCCAGCCACTAACTAGTCTGGCCGCCCTGACCCAAGAGCCACGAACCAAGGACGCGGCGCATTTCCTAACGCCAATGCCACCCAGTGCCCCTCGCGCCCGCGCTGGTGGGGATGGCCGGGAGGAGGCCCTTTGCAGAGACCAGTGCCATCTAAAGGCCGGATTTAGAAGAAAACAGGGACCCTGGGAGTAGAAAGCAAAAGACATCTCTAACTTTGGGGGTCACTGGAGCCGCAGCAATACTGCCGCGTCCGCAATTCCCCGCAACGGGGCGCAGAACGCGGGCTGTGCAAGGCGAG